AGACGCACTAGCACAGAACTCACCTGCGAGCGGTCTGAGGTGTGAGTCTCGGTTTGCTGCCGGAGCTTCCAGAGTGACTGAGGAATCTGCAGACGCACACATACGGCAAACAGACGAACACAAGAACTGTTCAAACAGGCTGAGATTACATTGCACATGCAGTGCATGAAATATTTTTTGACCATGTCACAAAAAAAACCCAAAACCTCAGTACACTGAGTCACAGGAAGTGAGTGCAAAGAATCAAAAATAGCTGCTACTTTATTCTCGTAAGACGCCTGTATGTATGAAATGAATTTGAAAAAGCAAACTGTAAACCATGACAAAAAAAAAATCGCTCTACCTGTGTGCCCGGCCGGTCACTCTCCTCCTGTGAATTAGACTTTCGGCTCTGCAAATTAAGGACCGTCGTCTAAGAAGCCACACAAACAAGCAGTAGGCAAGTCGGGGGAACAGGAGAAGATCAGGAAATGGCAAAAGTGGAGAAGAAAAAGTCAGGTAAAGCTGATATGGGTCCGACTTGCAAAGACAAAAGCGGTAAAGTGCAGTAGGTAGAGATGTGGCGTAAAAGATTGGGCAGGAATGCTGACGCAGTGGATTTGTTCAATGAGTAAACCAAACTGTCCAGTTCACTGGAAATGTAGACTTCGATGCCTGTCTGTTTGCTCTGTCAAACCACTTACAGGACTATTACTTAAAATTTCTATACAGCGGGGCATGTATTAGTCACGGCACATTTTTTATGACTACTTTGCAAAACGCTGGCATCAAACTGATGAAGCTTAGGCAGTAATGCTGCTTTGTTATAAAAGTCACGCTCAACGACTTTGGAAAGTTTTTAAAACAACTGTGGTTCTTTTAAAAGCTCATGATGTAAGCCTACTTTGTAACGCTTTCCTATACAGAAAATTGTTAGAAAGGAATAGATTAATGAGGACTTTAAGCGGATTTAGTAATGCTGTTGGTATTATAGGCTTGCAGGGAGAAATCGCTGTTAGGCTAACTGCAGAAAGATGTTACATGAACAACACGGATTTAAGCAGCTAAGCAAACGCTGATGTACCACACAGCTACTGTTATGTTACGAGAGTAGACGTGAGGGCCACACACCTGTTCTGCTGCTCCTGCTGCAGAAGCTGGACGGCAATCTTCCTCAGGTCAAGCACTTCCTTCAGCTCATCGTCCTCTTCCTCAGCTAGCTGCTCCTTATCAGAACTGGGAAAGGTGAGGAACAAAATTATTATCAAGTGATTAATTAGAGATATATCTAGGTGTGGGCACACATCCATTTATTATTTTCTTCATATCCAATTCAGCTTATCCCAGCTGCCACAGGGCAAAGTTTGCCCACCCCCTCCCAAGACTGGTCATCAGTGTGTCGCAGGGCCAGCACATTTACAAACACGTGTGGAATCCCCAGTTAACCTATTATGTTTGTCTTTGGTTTCAGGCTGAGACATGCAGATGATTAAAGGGGGAAACCTGCTGGCACCACTCATCATCGAAGTCGCTGATTGATGTGAATGTCAATGCAATTCGGTAGAAAGCCATCAAACTGTGTCATCACCTAACGCGTCATTTCCAAAGAGATCTCCTTGGTAGTACATGCACAAAAAAAATAAATAATACAAAATGTCTTTTTGTGTGTGCTAAAAGCTCTGCCAAACCAAACACCAGTCTGGCCGCCACTTGCGATAAGAAACCAAGTGAAAGTTTTTTTTCTGTTCTCTCACGCTGCCTCGCTCTTTCTGCGCATGGTTTCCTCTGGTTCCTGTAAATTGCTGGAGTGGCACACCTGGTCTGTATTAACCACTCCTTGGCTCCAGTATAAATACCTAGGTTTTCCCACTCACTTCTCATTAGAGCGGGTGAGCAGTGTGGCAGTCACGCTAAGGCTAACCACTCCTGGTGTTTTCATGTCTTTTATTGGATATTTCTGATTCAGGTTTTTCTTTCAACCCGCTAGCCTTGGGGCACACTGAGCCCAACATCTTGGCTGTCCACTCTCCATATGCCTAACCTCATCACCGGGCTTGCTTCCCGAAAACAACTTTTGCTCTGTTGGTCTGTCTGGATCTGATTTGGGTACCAATTAGCACAACCTGTGCCAGCTCACCTTCCAGCGAGCGGTTACGTTACCCTAAAAAGTCCAGGGGATGGTGGAAAGTAACAGCATTGCACACACAAAAAAAACTCACCCTGACTCCTCTTTCCAGCTGTCTTTATCTTTGCTTTGGTGAGACATGTTAAGAACTTTCTCCAGTTCCTGGAACGCACACAGGGACATCACGTCACGTCACGGGACCAAGCACACAGAGATAGATATTCTCTCCCAACGTGTCTTCAAAAGATTTCCCACATTCTTCTCGGTTTTCTAGACTGATTGATGAATTCATACCTTTATACAAGACACATGACTGCTTTGCTGCCCATTGCACTCTGACAGAGCAGGATCCTCGTCCGGGTTGGGCTCTATAAAGTCATAGAGATCCTGATCTGATAGAGGGAGGAAGCATCCGCGTTCATCACATGAACTGTCACATTTTTAGGCACTTTATTCAACAACCCCGTGTCTCTGTTATTGCTTTCAAAGGGAATATGTGATACTTATTTTCGGTAACCTTTGCAAGAGTCCATTTTGGAGAGGAGTGACAGGGCGTCGGCACGGGCTGTCTCTGAAACTTGAGAGTGCAGGCTGACGGTGTCATCGTCTGAAGGCTGAAGGAGAGGAAAACAGAGGAATGGGAAGTCAAGTTTCAAATGCAATCAATTCACCTGAATTATTACTGTTGCTATTTTGGTTATTTAAATGGAAAAGGATTAAAAGGAAAAAAACCACACCTGCAACACGTGACTGTAGCATTTGCCAAGTCACGTTTACAGCCTTACTAAGCAACTTTAATGAGCAGATATATTATGTATATATTCAGTTCCTCCATTAATGATCTTTTGAGTTGCATTTGTAGTTCTTTGCATGTATCCAGACATCCTTCTGTAAGTATCATTGTCTCTTATACTGGTTTGGGTCTCGTCGGTTATTCTCCTGTCACAACAATGAGCTCACACAGTGTTTTGCAATGCTATAGCTTACAGGCATAAGGGAGGCTACTCAAGTTTTGGAGGGAAGTCCTTTAAATAGGTTATTCAGAGCTGCACATTTCCACCTTCTACTGTCACATCAGTATTTTTCCATTTGGATTTCTGCCACCTTCACAAAGCTTCACGTGTTGCTGCTGACAACCAACCTCCCTGCACATTTGCTTTCCATTATCCAACAGTGCCCTGCAGGTCACATCTTGCCAGTTTGTCTAGTCAGATATTTATGTTGTTTTACCTAGTGTGCTAACATTTACTTCTGTCTGTATTTTTTTTTTAAACAACAGCCCCTTTATCGTGGCAAATGATAAAGGGGCCAAGCTGCTTCCTTTCTGTGCACCTGCATGAGTGCTACTACCAAAGCCTAACGCTCTTTCCACTCCTTAGATTTAGTGTGATTAACAAGTCGACCACCTATAAAAACAGCTCATATTATATCAAGAAAATGATACGGGTTACCCTTTCATAGTTATATATCTCAATATGTGCTCTTTCTTAAGTAGTAAAATGTATTTATTTTCTCACACAAGAGAAAATAAAATTGTATTCTACTTTCTGGGGCGTGGCTCACCTAGGAGTGACAACTCCCTAATATATAAGTCTGTTTAAGCTTTCAAATCCACCCATCACTGATGAGATCTGGTTTCAGAAAAATATAGCTCAGCTCGAGGCTCCAAAACAGGAAGGCACAAGTCAGTGAGTGATGTCACATGTGTGACACTTGTTTGGACTCTCACCTCTGTTGTAGACAGCCTCTTGTCACCATTGTCACTACCAATTCCAGAGTCAGGACCGTGGTTCTTACTTGGGTAAAAATCTTCCATGCTGAAATTGTGCAAAATGACGTAAATTAGACAGCATTAAATGATTAGATAGCAGAAATGCAATGCATGGTGTTTTTAACAGAATAGAAGTGATAAATAGATGCATTATGATATAATGATATACTTGATGATGGTTGCAAGTAAGTTAGTAAATCTGTCAGCACCTATCTGTTAGTGGTTGCGGTAGGCAACGCTTGCCAAGAGAGGGGAGGTCCAGGGTGTCTGGTTTCTTATCCATCCTACAAGCCTGCATGTTCAGGTACTTAAATATGTGCACTTTGCCTTTAAGACAAATCTGAAATAGATAAACACAAAATGTGTTCTTGAAGTCACTCCAACCACTACAGAGGGAACTACAAGGAAATCCACACAAGTGGATGGGTTAGATGTACAAAAACAACCACTATTTTTTTTTGAAAAAAATCCATAAAGCTCCAATTGTGCTGTACATCTGTTCCCACATATGGGCAAAAGCACCACCATAAAGCAAATCCTCATACCTGTGCCGGTGGAGACTGCATAGGGTTGTTGTCTAGGATGATGTGCTGCAGTTGCCTCAGCTTCCTGTAGGCTGGAGGAATCTCTGTGATCTTATTGCAGGAGAAGTCAAGTCGGATGAGAGGCAGGTCAGCCAACTCTGAAAATACAAAGAACAAGAAACTGATGTGCACTGCTTCGACTGCACAATCATCAGAAATTTGTATGTGCTGTTAGGGTAGATCTTATAAAAATAGTTTAACAACATCATTAAAACAGAGTCAAGTTCTTGTTTTTGGGCTCTTATCTTAACCCTGAAGCAACCACGATAATTCAGCAAATAAAAAAAGATCATATCTGGTCATATCTGTATCTATAAATATGTTATTACACTTTTTTTTTTCAATTGCTCTGTTTGTCATAATGTACTCTTTCCATCCATCTATGGCAGAGGTTCTAATGTTAAGCTTTTCAAAGGTACTTTAATGTAAAAAGGGGTTAACTTGACTTGTGATTAAAATGCATTTCATCCTTCAAAATTAATGGCAATATTTTGCTATGGTTCTTACTTTAAGGGCATGTAGAAATATGGGTAAAAGTATCTCTAACTGCTTTTAAGGGGATTTTTTTAGTTCATTGTGTTGAACACGTGATTTTTTATACAGAATTTTATAAATATTATTAATCTGTTAGACCGGTTTATGTATATATTTTCACGGACCGGCCTTTAAGGTGTCGTGGATATATACAACAAAATAAAACCAGTACCGGTACAGATTTATTCATAACACACAGGAAAAGACCCACGGAAACCAAGTCAACAATAAAAACGATTAAAAAATAACGATAAAAAAATAATAAAAACCCTCAAAACCATAAATTTCACACCCGATCTTTAACTCTCCTGGCCTGGTACTAAAAAAGCCACGAACCGGTACCGGTCCACGGCCCAGGGGTTGGGGACCGCTGTGTTAGACAACAGCACAGACTGCATGGATTTATGTGCCACACGTAGGAATTGCTCGAGTTGGGCTTGTCAATTCAGGTATCCTTAGTTATTCAGACATATATTACTATAATTTATTAAGTTGCCTTCTGCTATGTTTATCTGTGCCAACAGTAACAAGACAGGCAACACAAAACATAAAAAGCACAGTTGTTTCTCTTGGCTGTGAAAGTCTGGCATAGATGCCAAAATGTCTCAGTGATGCGCAATCAATGCGTCTCAAGTGAAAGAAACACACAGAGAGCTTCATGAGTGATGGATTTACCATCAGGCAGCATGTGAAGACTATTCTTCCTGATGTTGAGTTCTCTCAAGGCTTGAAGCTTTCCAACTTGAGCAGGCAGCGCCTGGATCTCGTTTGAGCTCACGTCCTGAAATCCAACCCAGCAGGGGGAGGCAAAGAGTGAGAAACGGAATTATTAGCGTTCACTCTCTCACCTCTCACACACACATACATATAGAAAAATGGGAAATGGGTGCAGCAACTTACTGAGACATGCAAAGAACATAGAAATATAGCATAAAAGGCAAAGGCAGAGTTTGTACAAATCTATTGAGCTTGGAAGTCCATATTTAGTATGACCACCTTTATTCTTCACCACAGCCTGAACTCTCTTAAGGCAGCTTTCTTGTCATTTCTTTAAGCAGTCCTAAGGCATAGTTCTCCAGGCTTCTTGAAGGACAATAAATGCTCTTCTTTAGGTTGGATCTTTTGTTCTCTTCTCTGTCATGATCATCTCGCACTGCTGCAGGTAGTCTTTCAGGCCTGTCACATTTTCTTTTGTCATCACTTTGTCCAGTTTTTAAGAACATACTGCACACCATGCTGAGATATGTCAAGTTCTTGGCTAATAGCTTATTGGGAATCACCTTGTTGGTGTAAAAATAAAATTTTATGTCTATTGAACTGTGTTATCTGGCATTTCCTTATAGATTCAACTAAATGAATTGGAACAAACGATTGTGTTTTTGTGACAGGCTGCTAGTTAAAAAGTGCCTAAAGACACAATTTAAAATAGATTCTTTGCTAAGTTTTCTGTTATGTGTAGACAGAACACTGGTGTATGTGCCTCAAGCTCTGTACTGTATACAAAGGCTGATGTATACAGGCTGCTCACCAGTTCCATTAAGTCTTTGGCCTTGCCAATCTCTTCAGGGATGGACACAAGCTTGTTGTTGCTCACAAGCAAAACCTTCAGGGGAAGGTTGAAAAGGTATTTCGGCAACACTGTCAGAAGATTTCGGCTGCAGAGAAAGACAAAACAATGACCTGCATTTAAAATAGCATACAGAAGCGTGTAACACTGAGACGATGGTGACTGGGAATTGAGTTGTAGCAAAAGAGGAAACATCTCTTTCGTGTGAGCATTTTCACCCTGTAAGTAAGGTGAAAGGGGAACAGGCACTTTTTTGGCATATAACTGAATACCAACATTCACTCCTTTTGTATTCAATTAGAGTCTGAAACAATAATAAAAGTATAGTGTTAGCAATGGCTCACCTGATGTCCAGATAAGTCAGCATCTGCAGATTGATAACAGCTTCTGGGATGCACTTAATGCAGTTGTGGTAGAGGTTGAGTGACTCCAGGGGGGCAAACAAACACACTTCTGGGGGGATTTCTGTGAGACGATTCTTAGACAGATCTGCAAGGAGAAGAAACAGAATACTTGTGTGCATAAGCACACTGGTGACAAACTCATTATAACCCTTTAACATCAGTTATGTGTGCTTTTTGCACAAGAAGCCATTCCCAAAGCCTCGAAACACTGATCAATACATATCTGTGACAGAGCAGTAGGAAACGTAGCTCTTCATCGAACGTCGGTCTAATATTACACCAGAGTCTTGGGCTTTATAGGTTTGAGTGCTGCCGGCGGGGTCATACGTCAGTATTTCCAGCATCGATCTCACTGGGAGTGGCACATTAATGGCTTTAGATTTGTATGAATGAGCGGAGAGTGTTGGAACTCATCCTACATCTGTCGGGTTTTTTTTTTGAAAGACAAGTTAACAGCAAAATAAAATAACCATATTTTTTTTTTCTGGGTTACTTTTTGAAGAGAAGAATCAGGTTTGCTGAGGCACAGAATAATTTATTTAGGATCCTTTATAGGATTTATCTCTTTTTATTAAAAGAACGGTCAAAAGTGAATGAGTTCTATGATTGCATTTAACTGAAATAAGTCTTTTTATACAAATTCAACATATTTGCAATCATGTTATGATATATAATAGAACAATACCAGAGTAAACAACCATACTATCAACTGTTAAGGCTATAATAGCATGGCAGCATATCACAATGGCTAAATTGTTTTTCACGTTTAAGAGCTTAGTTCACCTTCACTCATATTAAAACCCACGCCAACAGTTTAATGTTAAGAGTTTTGCATGCATTTCTTAGTTAAGATATCAACAAAGTTACAAGGAATTCGTCTTAGGAGTCACTATTGTCCCTTGCCAAATTCAATGCCAACCCATCTCAATCCTGTCACGACATGTCACCTACAGTAAAACACCCGGTGCCAACTTCAAGGTGTGGCTAGAAAGGAAAATGAGTATGAGTCACCTTCTGGTAACCACAAATGGCAATAACAACTGTTGACAGTACAGCTAATGTGACAAGTTCTCCTAAACTTGTCGAGCTGTCTGTTGTGTCGCCTGATAACACTGAAGTTAGCTTCTAAATTGGCAGAAGATGAATGTTTAGCACACAGATTTGATAAGTAGGACACTTTCGTGTTTGCCAAACATATCTGTACAAACAAATGAGGTCAATTTTACCATTTTTATGTCGACCGAATCAGACGAGGCTTTTCGTTCAAGATATTTTGTGTAAACGACAAAGCGACAGCAGAAGTAGCGGTTAAACACTCTCTGTTTAACCGCTGAAGGCAGTTTGCTAAAAAAAAAATTCGTAGCCATGCATTTAATGAGCTACATGCATGTGCTTTTGTTCTGCAACAGGAACATGAATGTAATCTCTGCTTCCACCCCCCATTTTTATCTGCCTGCTGTAATAAAATATTTCGAATTCATCCCAACAACGTCAAATAAAGGAAGCATACAGATACAGATGCTTAAGCTCATTATGCAGATATCTGTCCTCAGCCAGCATTCAGAATTTCCACATGTATTCCAAATACTTACTTTGGAAAGTCATATTAAATAATGTTTATCCTATATACTGCTGATGGTCTTTGAGGCTCAGTCTTCAACCTATGTTGCAAGAGGAAAACAGGAAGGTTCATCCACTGAAACATGACGATTAAATTTCACTGCTACCTGCCAACAAAATGTAAATATGCCCTGTGATCAATTGAAGCATAGCTTAACTCTTTATTTTCTTTTAAAGGTCTTTAGATCGTGTCCACATTTCCGCTTAAATAATCACTGACCCCGTGCACTTTAACCAGAAACACAAGGATACTCGTAAGGTTACCTTGCACTGCACTGAATTCCCCGTCAAACACTTATTGATTCAGTGCCTATAAATTATGTGTGTACGTGTCTGCGTGTGTGCTGTTGGTATTCTACTCGTGTTTCACTAACCTAAATCTGTTAACACAGTTACATTATGAGGATGTCTGCTACAAAGTAACATAAATCACTACCTACTAAGATTAATGCCTTTTTAAAGGTTGGGCAAATAGTAGTTTTGATCAGAGGAAATTCACAGTAAGTCAAGTTAATGTCCTTTAAATTCTTTGAGAATGTGGACACATTGGCACATCACTTTTCTAAAAGCACCTTACACCGCAACCTGAGTCTTACAACTCTGTTTTTCTACTGTACACATGCTCACACACAGATAATACACCAGGGTTCGGTGTAAGGGTTCAGTATCGTGGCAAGGACATTTCAACATGAGGAGAGTAGCAGGGGGTTAGTGAACAACCCGCTCTCCCTCCTGCAGCCGTGCGTGTCTGTGTCCGTGTGCGTGTGTGTGCTCGCGCACGCGTGACCAATCTTGTCTTGTGAATTATCTCTGGGTGACAAGATAATTAGAGTGAGGAGCTGCTGCTGCAGAGCTCCAGATAAAGAGAAGGCTTTCAATTATTCTGTCCCACATAACCAAAGTGCGCTATCCTTTGCTTGGGAAAACCAAACACTGCTGCGCCTCCATCCCCTCATTATGTGAAATTACATATAGGCACCACTATTTATTAAACAACTGAGCTACAGAATAAAGGTTTTAATGAAACTAAATTCACTTACCTGCTATTAAAAAGTTACTGTTTAGTATGAAGGATATCGTATCTAGTATTTAAATACGGGAAGTAAGGCCTTTATTCATTCATCCCCAGTGCAATGTAACACCTTCTCTACTTCTACTGAAGGTTGTTATCAGCTATGAAAAGAAACTGACCCGAATTGTATTGAAATGGCCTGATTTACCTGCATTTTAACATTACATACTATATGTTGAACCTTTCGCCCCATTCGGTCAGATTACAAGACAGTTTGAAGAGAACAAAACCGCCTGAAGAATCAGACAAACTGAAGAATCAATAATAAACTAGATATTTGTTCCATATCCTTTATATCAGATGTCAGTGTCCTCCGTGATCTTAGTCATTATCACTACTTGTCGGACATTTGATTGCAGCAGTTATTGTCTGGAGGGATAATTCTTGATTTTGTTGTTGGTTAATTAATACCAGGGAAAAGAGAAAGTTGCATTTATTACATACATGCCACTAATACATGAAAGCAGATTAGCTTTCTGGTGCTACTAGTGTGGTTCCTAATATGGCTTCTCACAATAGCATTTAAACAAAAATGCCACTAGTTGCAGCAAAACTAGTGACTAGTCAAACTAAAACTAGTCAGTTAAAATGACCAAACGTCCAGACAGTGGTTATAGGAAACTAAGGTCAGATAATATGGATTTAAAGTTCAAGCAGGTTTCCACAGATAGGCTCTGACTGTGTAGTTGTCTATGGGCTCTGACAGCAGTCAGTAAGCAGAAGTGAGAAGCAGACTATGACACAGTCAGCAGCACAAAGGGAAAAGAAGCCAAAGGGTTAAGGGAAGCAGAAATTACCACATGGGGAAAGACTAAAGCTGAGGTCACAAGGTATGCACGCTTTCCATTAAGACTAAACTCTGCCTCTCCCTCAGGCTTGGACCTTGATGCTGTAACCCAGCTGCATATAGTCAATTCCCCCATCTCCCTCCACACCCTAATCTGGTCCCACAACTGGGTATTCTGTGTTAGTAGTTGAATCATCTGGGTGATGGGGGAGCTGGGGGGTAGGTGGAGACAGGCTTTATATGCCTGTCTATCTTTTCCCACTTTTCCCTCCTCCAACCTAGGCCACGCACCATCTGCAGCGCACAGTGGGTCTTTAATCCACCTGCTTGCTGCCTCAAGCTCCCACAGAACAAGGCCCGCCAGGCAGAGAAGCACTCCACCAAGGCTCCACGGCACCATCAATCTATTCATTTGTGTTCGTAGTGCAGATGCTGCTTGGATATGTCCTTCCGTGACACAGCAAAATGAATACTAATTGCTTTCTTCTGGAGCAAACAGTGAGTCTCTGATCAGCAAGAGACTGATTTTGAAGAGAGGATAAAAATAGCTTTAAGTTGCTATTTAGAAATTCAGCTTGTTATCACTAAGTTATTTGTCTCTAAGCTGCAGGAAAATGAGACCATCATACTCTATTTACTGTATTCTGTCAATAATGCCGCAGGATTCAGTTTAATGAAAACATGGAAGGTGCATGTCAAGGATGATTAATTGGGGTTAATTAATTTTCACCCTGCAGCAGATGTGCCACAGCCACTATGGCTGTGAGGATTTGGGTGTGGTCCGGTGCTGCGGGTTGGACCGTGCAGAGTGCTCTTTGTGAGATTTGGCCTTAGAGATCGGGTAGTCTCTTGATCAGCTGCGTTTGTTCAGCTACTGTGCAGGGGTTGTCCGTGAGAGCTTGTAATCACCGTCAGGCACTAACGCGGTCCAATTGATCCATGAACCGCATCCTTTGATCTCTGCCCAATCCAGATGCTTCAGGATTGGGCAGAGACATGCTTCAGCAGCACCCGGTGTTGACAGACACACAGACACATTAATATGCGAAAACATTAATATAGATATAGATACTATAGATGTGCAGAAACGGCTTCTTTCCCTGGACCATTTGGTCTGTAAACAAACACTATCCCCCTACACCGCATCCCTGTCCACCCACCTACCAATCTGAGCCATGGTCTTAGTAACCCTCATCACTCAGGCCACTCACAAGGACTCTACTCAGACCAAGTCCTTTGCAACCTGATCTGTAATGTGTGCCTTTCCCTTGTTTTGTATATATTTCTCCTGTTTGTTAGTTATTCCTGCTGCCTTACTATTTTTATTTACAGTAAAGGGCTATTCTATTCTATTCTATTCTATTCTATTCTATTCTATTCTATGATCATAGGCTTTTCAGACATATAATAGTATTTGATTTTTGTTCAAACTATTTATTATACATTTAGCGCCTAAGATATTAACCCCAACATTAATTTTTCACTGAGTCTATTACACCAGAAATTAATTGAATGAAATTAAATCACATGTCAAGCATTTGATTCATGTTCCTATTTTTAAATGAAGAAGCAGACACTCTGGTTGTGTCACACTACACAAATTTGGACACTACAAATGTCTGATTGGAAAATTCAGACATGCCACATTGTTCCTGTTAAATTCTAACACATCCTACTTTGAGACGACACTAAAATAGTCACACTCTGTTATATGACACACACATTTCTAATTTACTGTGGTTATACCTTCATTTGTTGAGCTTTTTGTCACGCACGTACGCCACGCAGATAAAGCCTAGCTGCGAACTAAAAGAAAAATTCTGTGAACATGTCCTTGGTGCCTTTTTAAAATGTGAATGTTACTTCTGTTGAACGTGTTTGTAACTCCAGTGCTTTTTAAGCTGTTGCTTCACAGAAAAGAATCAATTAGAGACCACCGTTTCATTTTCTGATCATTTTACATTCAAGTCTAAATGTTTAACAGTGGCATCATTAATATACAGGCCTGCGTCTATAACCCAGTCTAGGCGTGGGTGAGTAAAGGCCTTTATCTCTGCTATTTTTCAAAGACTACCTTCAACTAAAGGAAACTAACAATTTTCTCAAAAAGGGATTTAAAGGAAAATTTTATGCTGTGTCTCATATATAAGACATAATTATGGGACGACTCTGTTGCCCGAAGCGCTTGCTGTTCTGCACAGGCTTTCAGGAGAGACAGAGGATGTTTGATTTAACAGAGCACAGAGAATGAGCAGCACTTTTAAAGCCTTTGGGGGGCGTCAGCCTGCTTGAACTTTAATGAGCTGTGGCGCTTTCAGTATTTACACTGGTTGATTATTAAGGCAGAGAATGTTTGCTTGATACTTGTGTCCTTGTGGAGGCCGTCCTTGAAGAGTTTAACTTATAAGGAATGCAGCAGCACCTTGTGAGATTTACTGTGCACACAAAGTCCCACAAAATCGAATAAAGAATGCCCAAGTTGCATTTTGGCCCCTGTTTCAAGGACTTCCAGTATCTTAGTGGGCTTTTTGGTTTGTTCTTGGCTGTCAAATTATCTCTTTTTGTGACAAAAACTGCATTACACGCCTTTTTTCACTTACCTCTTCATTTTGGCCATTAAATATTAGATCAAACTATTAGTGGATGACGGAGTAATTAGCCAGACAGTGAAGTGTTTATAGTGTGATGACAGATTAGGTGCGATCTTCAATTGTGGCACAGCCATTAAAAATGGAAGATAAAACCACACACTAAATCTAATGCATGTATTGTTGATTATACCATAAATGAGTCATCATGGTCTCCAAGAAATCCCAATTTGAAATGTCTTTATTAGCATTTTTCCTGAGAAGTCACAGAAACAGCTGGTGTAAACTTGGCTGAATATCTGACAATAACGCACACCTGTGAAGGTACGGTGAAGGCACCTCGCGGCGGTGGGGTAATGGCAGGTAGAGGCATGCTGGGGATATGAACCAGACAGATGCACTAACCCGCATGCACTTCTACACAAGTTCGGGGCAGCATTCTCAGCGCTTTCCCTGTGGGAAAACAACCCGACTGGAGACAAACTAGCAGCAGCACACTGCAAACGGACACCCTCGTGTGATGTCCGCTCCCTTTTTGGTTGCTGCTTAGCCGTCGGATGAATCCGTTCGCTTTCTAAGAGCAGCAACGCGATGTTATCGAAATAGCTTATCACGAGACATATCAAGAGCCACTTCTTCTTTTTTTAAACGCCTTTCAGTTTTCAGGTGTAACAAATAATGTAGCTTAACAAGCTGGGTCTTAGTTTACAGAGCTGGCACTGTTCAGTGACGACTGAAAGCTGCAGCAAAGACTTATAAGAAAAGATGCATTAAAGTTAACTTTAAATTGCATCTGATTTTGACTGAGCCAGCAAAAATGACACCGTTTCTATTTGCAGCAGAGATTGCAATTGAAGGGTAGCGCCGTGAGGTGTTGATCTCTCTTCGCACATCTGTAAGTGACACTTCCCTTCTGGCACACCTTTAATTTGACAGAGTGAAATGAAGGCGTGAGATACAAGCGCGAGGCGTGCAGCATTTACAGCACCTGAATTGCACTGGCACAGAAATATAAACCTTCCCACCTCTTCGAGTTATCATCGCTGTTATAATGAGCACTCCAGATAATAGAAGCTGTTTCTAAATTTAAAACGCGAATAAATAAATAAATAAAACTCTTGGCAGATGTTTTGACTGAAGTTCAATGGAGCAAAGCTGACTAGTAGAAGAGCAGATCATTACAAAGACGGCCTAACAGTCTGTAAATAGTTCACCCCAAACTTCCTGTTTTGCGGTTTGTCACGAAACATGACTGGCAATCTGTGTAAAACAAGAAGGCCCTGAGCTCCTCTGGGTTATTAATGGTGTGTATTGTTATAAGTCCTGTTTATTCTGGAGATTTAGCACACATGACTATCAAATGAGCAAATTTCCATAGATCTGGGTGGACAAGCCCACTCACAAAACGATTACTAACGACTAAGAACAGCAGAGCAGCATGTAAGAAAATAGTTGGATTATAGCTTAGTACTGGAAGACATGTCTGCTTGTTCAGCAAACCTTTCACCTCCTACCAAGCCCACAAATGATTTTCAGTGGCTGGAGCCCTGTGCATATCGTGCTTTTTGCTTTATTTTTGATTCAGTAATTAAACAAGTCACTTTCAGGTGTGCTCAAAGAAGACTGTCTAGATGTGAAGAGGTTCTGAAATCTTGGAGTAGAAAATTTTAACACCCTGGGGGTACGGGTAAGGGTAAGAGCTGCACATGATGACAGATTAACACCAGATGGTCTATGGACACATCAGAGGAGGAGACTATCATTTCTGAGATTTGGCATCTTCCACATGCTCATGTTAATGCTTGGAAATGATAAATAGCAAGCCAGTATTACCAAAATTACCAAATGTGTGCAAAAAGATGAATATATGTATGTCTACCCTAATTAAACGCACAGCCACTGAAGTCAGGCCATTCCCAATAAAACTTATGTATGTATGACCTCACACTGATAACACAGACTGCTGAAAAACGTGACACTAATACTGACCTACTAACTACGGTTAAGGGTGACCCAGAAAAAGATCGCCCAATAAAGACATGGGTTAAAACAGGAATCAGCCTACACGTGAAACCAAAAGTAAACCCGTGTCTTCCTCCTGTCTGGTACATTACAAGCTACACTATATGGGCATATACAGCCAAGCAACCAAAGGGGCGTGAGGCTGCCAGCAAGTACCCTGCATCTTTTGTCTGATTGTGCCGAATATGAAAAAAGCCGCGCGCGTGTGTGTGCCACATGTTCATCACAAATGATATTCATTGAGCAAGAATCACACTCTTCGTTGCCGCAGGCTTCATTCGTGTAGTGCTCCAGCTGCCCCGTGCCGAATCAGCTGCAGCTTGGTGTGCAAACCACTGCACAGCACCTACTTGGGTGCGCCTGCCGTCTCATTCATGTGTCTCGGGGGGCGGGGGGGGACTGAAAGCTACTGGCGTCGACCAACACAACAGCGCACTAAACTACAGATATACGAGCCCCGGTGGACAGTAATTACAAGCAGGATGTAGCAAATGTGCATTTACAGAAGTCCGCGGAGTACACGGTATACTCCTATAAATAATGTCACGTTATCATAATCCTACACGTTATTGCGCCTTTATCCACAAAATCGAGATAAAATCCATGCACAATGCGGACATGCTGCATTCATCCACGAGTACGTGTTTTCTGTTTTTTGCTGGTTTACGTTTTGTTTCCTGTAGTCCTCACGCGTGCACACCAACCCACCTGCTTGTGTTGTATCGGTGAGATCGTAGCTCATCCCCGGGTACTCCCTCAGCTTCCTGCCGCTCAGGTTCAGTATCCCCGAGCACACGGCATCCTCCAGAGCCCGGTCCAGGCTTCGGGCCGTGTGGTGCTGCTGCTGGAACGGTGTGATGCCCGGGCTCCAGTGAGGTCCGGTGGGATAGTGATGGCTTTGTAGAGCGGTGACAGCTCCCACGCCTCCCTGACTGGACGCCATTTTTTAAAAGAAAAAGAAAAAAAGAAAAGAAAAAGAAAAAAAAGAAATTACTCTTACAATAATAACAGCGCACAGCGGCAGTTTCTCCGCCCATGCGCATACACGGTACATTCCCAGCACGGACGCTAGGGGATGGGCTTCTGAGGTATTGGTGCTGCTGCTGCTACTACTGCTGCTGCTGGTGATGATGATGATGATGATGAGGGGATATGGTGGCCATTTTGGGCTTTTAACCCTTTTTTCTCTCCATCTGGTAATAAACACCTTTTAACAGGAGACCCAGAATGACACAGGGGGCACAAGCATAGCACATTAATTGGTGCACTGTAGATAGTTATTTAAAAAATGTTTAGCGTATAAAGGTTTATTATAACATTGAAATAAAACATATATAATCTAACATGTTTCTATAGTACAGCTCTCATCACATTCACTGGATATCAATAATCATTTACTGCTTTACTGCTCCTGGTTGTCTAAACAGTGAGTCAAATAATTATCCTCTTCAGTCATTGTGAAAACTTCTCCACCATCATACCAGGGTCCTAATGGGGCATTCCACTATCCCAGTAATGTCACAGAATGGTGCTAAAGTAAACTGAAGGTTATCCAAAACAACCCTCATGTGCCATCTATCTATCTATCTATCTATCTATCTATCTATCTATCTATCTATCTATCTATCTATCTATCTATCTATCTATCTATCTATCTATCTATGGCAAAATGTGTCTTACCATACGTTGTTGTTGTTGCACTGTTTGCAGTTTGAGCATGGCACATTGTACCATACGTTTTTCTTTTAAACTTTGGATCTTGAAACTGTATATTATCAATATATTTATATATGTATTTATCATAGCAACAAGATATCATAGGTTGAATGTAGTTCTTTTAATCTGCCCTGTTCTAATGAGGTTAGTAGTCTCTCTAAAACCTAATTAGCTATTGCAGACATAATACTTTTAAAATGACCAAAACAAGCAGAAGTGGTGTTAGCTAATGACAACAGGAAAATAGAAAGATGTGTATTTTAATAAAAGTTTCCACTTTTTGTATGTTGACATGCAGCTCATGAAGGCAGCGGATTATGACCTGAAACGTTTTAATCTAAGGTAGAGATAGGAAATAGACGACAGCAGGTGTGTGTGGACATTTACTATACTGCTTCATTTTCCATTTAATATCACATAAGGTTTCAGTTAAACTGTTTATTGTGATGTTCATTAATCAAAACTATTCTCTATACATATACCACGTGTGTAAAACTAGTGGCCTTACAGCTGCACCCTTTTTTCAAATACAATATTTTTGAGGTGTTTCAGTCAAGTTTTTAAAGTACTTTTGAATTTTTTTTTATTATTATTATTTCTTCAAACCACTGGCTTTGGGGACTCTGTTATACTTGTGCTTTTAGATCTCACAGTAGCCTTTGACACATTAGATCACAACATTTAACATCATGTTGGCAGAGGTCCTGCCTTTACTGCTTCAAGTCATACCTACCTGACAGATATTTTTCTGTCTCACTTGGTAAGTTTTGTTCATCTCCCTCCCATGTGGTGTACCTCAAGGATCCATCCTTGGACCCCTTTCTTTTATTTATTTGATGCGCTCTCATTTAACAAACACAATGTCTCATTTCATTTTTATGTAGATGACTGTCAGATTCACGAACCAGTTTTTACCGACCTTGGGGTAAAAATATGCATAAATCTTAAAATTGACAAAATAAATACAGTTTTCATCTCAGGCAATTCTCTAAACTTGTGTCTTTTATCACTTTTGTGAGTTAGACAGTTTTACACGTATTTGTGACCACTCACCTTGATTACCGTAATGCACTTTTTGTTGGTATTGATCAGGCCTCATTATTGTGCCTACTAATAGTCCAAAAACCCAGCTTGTCTGCTGACAGGGACACCTAAACATGAACATATTTCCTTGGGTCCTGCCTCTTTACGTTGATTGTCTGTCCATTTAAGAATTAATTAAAAAAATATTTAGCTGCCTAGCTCCTTCCTACCTGGCAGACCTTCAACACATATACACTCCTCAAAGTGGACAACAAGGACCAGTCACTCCTTGTCTGAAAAAACACCAGGGGGGACAAGCTTTTGCTGGTGTGGCTCCCAAATTGCCACGACAGCAACGTTGCCCCTCCATATTAGGCTGGACCTAACACTTGAGTTTTAAATCACGTTTAAAAACACACACTTTCTTCAAGGCATTTTAGGAGTAGTATCAGAGTTGGCTTCTAATCAGTTTTAGTCAGTTATTTGATTAGTTTTAATTTTTTTAATGTATTTTTAATTTTAATTTTAATTTATTGTACATCTTTTCTTTGTAGTTTGTAGTATGTTTTATTTATTTTTCCTTTTTGTTTAATATGTGGTTATTGTTTTTTATGGCTATCCTTTGGTAACTATGTTTTAAAGTCTATAAATAAAGTTGGATTGGATTGGACTGGATAATAATGGGTACAAATGATCATGAAAACAAGTAAGCCAAGGTCCACCAATTGCTTTGCAGCTTGATTGATCGGGGCACGTTTTGAATTTATTATAATTATTTTATATACCTTAATATTTTCCATCACACGTGTCACATATAATCAGTAATTGATTCGGACTGTCTTTTGTCCACTGGTGTTCAAAAGTGCTTTAAATCAGCCTCTTGCACTTTAATAAATAAATAAAGGGGTCTCTCTCTCTCTCTCTTTGTTTAAACCCCAAACTGACATTTATGAGATTTATGAAAACCCCACAGCCGGTGACCACCACAAACCTGGACGTGAGGAGGCAAAACTGTAGCAGCAGGTAGATGAAAGAAAGAGAAGTCTCCGTAATGAGTGGAGTATGAGCGCACAGAGATACGGACTCCTTTAATTAAGCTGCGGACCGAGCAGAGAAGAGCAGGCGTCCTCTCACAGGAGCTCCACTCGTTTCGTGCTAGCACGATGTGATAAAAAAAACCACTTGTCAGTCGCAAACAAATGGTGAAGCAATAGCTTAACACACGTTGTAAGTTGCGGTTATATCGGGTTGTGTGCATGCACTGTGGTTTAAACGCTGTCCTGCGCGGTCAGTCGGCGCTTTTGCGGCGTTTCAGAACAACATAAAGAGACAGTTATGTTAGCTAGCTAAGAGTGTCTGAGCTCTGTGTGAGTGTTAGCACTGAGGGAGGTGTTTGCGATTATGAAAGATGCAAATGTGTCCGAGTTACTGAATTGTTGGGGTCATAGGTTGACAGAGGAAATATAAGCTCTAGCATTATTCATGTGAAGGTTAAGGGTGGGCTAGCTCTTTATTCGTTAGCTAACATTAGCAAAGTGGAATGGTAGCCTGTGTGTTGTCCAGGCCTTTTAAACACGTTTATTTGCTCCAGATGGACCTGACCAGCTTCTCTGTTTAAGTAGTGCATGTTTATTGTTCAAAGAGACTCTTAGTTTAATGCACTTCATCTTCTTGGCTTTAACTATCAAACTTAAGGGTTGTAAACACTCCAGTGTCCACCCCCCTGGTACCATAGGTTAGCACTGTGTGTGGTTATTGATGAGTAGCACTAGTTTTTTCTAAGCCTGTGTGTTGTTTATTTTATTTGGCGATTAATACTCTGTGTTTTTCTCCTTTAATAGTCTGTATCCAATATCTTACCAAAGAAAGGATGCCATAAGTGACACTAAATCGGTAAGATGACTCAACAGAAGACAGAGATTTCTATTGCTTTGCCCTTCAGTGCATGTCTGCTGCTGTGGGCTCTTCCTCCCACTGGATCAGGGAGCTCTCTTTAAGATTTACTGTTATTATCAAAGCATGAAAATGCTACAAGAAAGTGCTAGCTCTACAATTGCTTCTGTGCTACCAATTGAAAGGCATTTTAACATGAACTTTTCCACCCTTGTGTATTATTATGTACTGCTTGCAGCTTGAGCATGGCAGATAGAAAGGGGAAACCAGCAGCTCCACTGAAAACACTCACAAAGAAGGAACAAGAGGAGCTCAAAAAAAAGGTGCAGGGGGTTTGCGATGTAACATTTAGATACGATGGAGAGTGTTTTTTGAATGTTTGGCGGAAATAAAACCTTATTAAGATCATATGGTAATGAATTAATACAAATAGTGTTTCCTTGTATGTCTAGGAGGAAGAAAAAGCAGCAGAGGTGTTTGAAGAATTTCTGGCTTCATTTGAGACCAGCGAGAAAAGCAGAGTGAAAACTTTTGTCCGTGGAGGTATTGTGAATGCGACTAAAGGTGAGCAGCGAGGGTTTTCACAAGCATCATGATGTGATTTAGCGACATTGCAGTTATGTTCCTTTTGTTCAGCAGTGGGATGTCAGGACCAAGCCTGATTGCAAGTTGCATGTTTAAAATAATAATAATAATAATGAACTGAGTGCCTGACTCAGCAGTGAAATAGTTCACCATCTTCATTTTTAAGGGCCACATGTTTGTGATGGTTTAATAAAATTCAGAGACTCTGTGAACTCTGGGAGAACTGGACTATAGGATTACTTATAGTTGAACATAGTTGCTCAACGTATTGTTATATGAACAGACATCTCATTTAGTTCACTTGTGAGTGAGTTTATACGAATTGTTTTTGGAACCAGTGCCACTTTCTGTCCGAATGGTGTTCAGGGTCAAGTCATAACAATGAAAGCGTTTACATAAATAAGCCGGATCAGTATTCGAGGGTTGTCTTAATCTTTGCAGAGGAGGAAGCAGCAGAGGTCAAGAAAAGTAAGCTCTACCAACCTGCTACCAAGTTTGTCCACGTGTCCCAGCATGTCTCACCATCAGCTGAAAGCAAAAAGTCTGTAAGTTTATTCATTTTTTTATTTTGGATCAAATGCATAATATCTGATTAAGTATTAATGTAAAAATACGGTCCTATTAGCCTTAGCTTTCAGTGTTTGAACGTTTTTAATAACCAGCTGTTTGTTTGTTTGATAGACCTTTAAAAAAAAGGCAGAAGAGAAAAAGAAGAGTAATCTCGAACTATTCAAGGAAGAACTTAAGCTGTAAGTTGATTTTGTTTTTTAATTTATTTTTCAAAAATGTGCTAGAAATCATGTTTCTGTGAAATATGTTTATCTTCTTGGGACATGTAAATCTGTTTTCATGTGTGGGGATACAGAATACAAGAAGAGCGTGAGGAGAGACATAAAAGGAAGAAAACTGACTCCGGTGGAGGACATTATGGAGATCTGGACACGCCTTTATCAGGACGATCAAGTAAAACCCCTCCTTTGATATTACTGTTGTTGTTAGTTGAATCAATTTGGTAACCTTTAAATTGACCTAACATCAAGCCCTTTTTCACCCTACAGCGTTATATGATGACCTGACAGTGCCAACCACCACTAATCTCTACATTAACTGCATAAGTCCAAAGGTAAAGGTCCACACAGACTTGCATAGGTTCAACATATTGCTCACGTACGACCCTCGCTTTAAATTTCTACTACTTTTCAGATGAATGAAGAAATGCTCTGTAAAGAGTTTTGCAAGTATGGTCCCCTGGCCAGTGTGAAGATTATGTGGCCCCGAACAGACGAGGAGCGCTGCAGAACCTCTAACAGAGCATTCGTGGCCTTCATGACACGGAAAGATGCGGAGAGAGCCTTGGCTGCACTAGATGGTACAGGTGACTCTTAAAAATACCCCTGTTACATATCACAGCCTTTTTTCTCACAGCACAATGAAATATGGTTTGCTTTGTAGGTAAAGTGATTATGGGGTTTGAGATGAAGCTGGGATGGGGCAAACCAGCTCGCATCCCACCTCAGCCACTATACACGCCGGTGGGAGTGAGAGTCACACCGCCGCCGCCGTCCGGCCTGCCTTTCAATGCTCAGCCCAGGGATCGCTTCCGCAATGACTTCACCAAGCCGCTGGGCATGTCTAAAAAAGAGCTTGACAAGGTAAAATCTCATCCACAAGTAATTGGTGTTAACTGCATTTGTATGGTGATGTAATGAATTAGGAATAAGAGTGTGACAATTAAAGGAAAACTGTTTCTTTAAAGACCTGCAGATTTATCAGTATTATTATTATTATTATTTACTTACTTATTTATTGTGGAAACTCCTGCTGTTGATCTAAGTTTGGAAACTATAGCTAGTGACCAAGTCAGGGTAAATGTGTGCTTTGAAAAGTTATTTGTCACAGTTATTTACTCGAATCAGCTCAGCTTGTATAGATTGTGTAGTATTTTACAATAGTTCATTGGAGTCCTACAGCTGTGTCACCCTATCTCTTTTCACTGATCGTTAATACTGTCACCGTTTTCTATGCTGTATGTATCCTGCAGTGTTTCATCTGTACAAGTGCTCACGTTTTAACGTTTTCACTATTTGGTTTGACTTCACAAACAGACTCTGTCCGAAGCCGTAGTCAAAGTGGTTATCCCAACCGAAAGGTATACACACTCTTCTTACTATGACTGCCCAGCTGTTGTAACACAAGTGTTATAAGCGAGAGGCTGTGGTGCACTGTTCTTTTATCCAGATGTGTTGTTTGTGGCAGGAAGTCTCAGGTCTTAGGGCTGTTAGAAATACACTTGGCATCCCACAGTTGTTTTACAGTTGCTGTAAGTGGGTGGATACTTTGACATCTGCAACTTGTTGGAGGTGTGACTCTGCCCGTGATGATAAAAATCTAAATTTGGTCACCTTCCCCTCTCCTTGGGAAGCAGTAAACCATTTCCAGCAGAGCTGCTGTTTTTAGAAGGCTACATGCTCAGGCGTGCTCTGACCATTTGCAGTTAGTGAAGACTGTTGTTGTGGCCAAAAAACACAGTTGCCTCATCAGTGTGCTGCACTGGTCAGACCAGGCCTTCTGTAGATTGAGCGACACTGGAAGCAGTCCAGAGCTACAGAGCAACCTCGAAAGGGGTAGATGGGCCAATTTTAAATTAAGCCTGGTGTTTGCTTTTTAAGGGCAGAGTTGCAGAACTTTTGGATAATTCCTCACACATGTCAAATGTCATGGCTTGAGGTTTACATGCAATTCTTGTTTCAGTTTATTAAAAATCCATCAAAACTCATCTTGTTCCCACCATGTCATTCAGTTGTCAGCTAGTTTTTCTGTTAAATACTTAATTGCAATTGTTGTAAATATCCGTTGGTATCTGTATTTTAAACCCTGGATTTCCCATGGGTAGGCTGAGACACTGCAGACGATACAGCTAGAAGGCATGCTGATTTTTCTCAAGTCAGATGTCAGTAGAGTAGTACTTTTGTCATAAATCAAGCCAGCAGCTCCTTCAGGTCATAGTAGAGTAATATGTGAGTGTAACTATAGTGGCAGACATAACTGCATGAACACAGTCTACACTGATCAAGTTCAAACAGGTTTCAGGTCTGCAGCCCCAATCCAAAGTAACCACTGGATACATCTTTTTCAGACATTTCAGACAGCAAGATTTTTACAGGATGTCATAAATTTGGCAACCCTGACAACTAAAAAACAGTAATAAATTACTGTTTTTTCTTCTCAAAGCTTTGCATGAGTCAAATATAGCAAGACATCAGGATTCTTGCGTATTTGGCATCTTGAAGCTTCATGATTAATGTTAAACTTTGAATTGGGGCTTTGCAACGTGAGCCATGAAAAGTTATTGTGATTGTGTCATTTCTTCTCCATTCTTACATTCAGTTATCGGGAAAAAAGACAGGCCCACACGTGTGGTTTTCCTATTATATTTGGGCATGCATAAGCACAGTATATCTTGATTTAGAGTGAGCAGCATTTAGTCTGCCAATAATATTCATGGGCCTTTTACTGTTAGAGATGCTTGAGTGTGCATTATGAGTTTTAATCTTAAACCTGGCTCTGATGCGCCTCTCTGTCCCCACAGGAATCTGTTATTCCTTATTCACAGGATGATAGAGTTTGTGGTGCGTGAAGGTCCAGTGTTTGAAGCCATAATCATGAATAAAGAGAAAAACAACCCACATTACAGGTATGTTTGCAGCACTTGGGCCCGTGTTGGTGTTAAGTTGAGAGAAAATTGCATCGTGTTTGATTTATCTGTTATTGTCTCAGATTCCTTTTTGACAACAAAAGCCAAGATCATGTGTACTATCGCTGGAAGCTTTTCTCCATTCTTCAGGTATTCTGTTTCTGCAAAACCTTGTTTCTGAACAGTTACCGGAAGTAACGGGGTCATGTGGATTTAAATCATCTTTTCTTTTTTTTTAAAAATTTGTCTGGTTTTCATCCGTACCTCAGGGAGAGTCCCCAACAGAGTGGAGGACGACAGATTTTCGCATGTTTCGCGGAGGCTCTTTGTGGAGACCACCTTCTTTAAACAGCTACTCTCAGAGAAGTGAAGAAAGGCAAGAGGAAGAAGATGATGTTTCCCATGAGGAGGAGGTGAAGAAAGGGCAACTCCGAGCCGAGTAAGTCATCTAGCGGTCACGGCGACATTTATTTACACTTGTAACTTCAGTTAAACTGAACGAACATGACTCTTCTGTAAACATCTTTCAGGCACAGACAGAGGCTGGAGATGTTGCTTAAGGAGCTCGCTGCTGGGAGAGAAGACATTGCCAATGCCATGATGTTCTGTCTTGACCGAGCGGACGCAGCAGAGGAAGTAGTGGGACATGTCTCCGATTCCTTCTCCTCGCTCCAGACGTCCCTTCAGAAGAAGGCAGTTTGCTTCCTTATATCTTTATATAAAACACGTGTTACACAGAATCTCTGTAAAGCTACAATAACCAGGTCATATTGAACTTTTCTGTCCACTTCAATCTCACAGATCGCCAGATTGTACCTTGTGTCAGACATCTTGCACAATTCATGTGCCAAAGTAGCCGGTGCCTCGTATTACCGGAAATAGTAAGAGACTTTCCCTAAGTTTGGCCTGAGCACTCTGATCGCATTTTATTTCAGCTTTGTCTGACCATCTTAAAGTTTTCCCCTCATCTTTCCAGTTTTGAAGCAAAGCTGCCACAGATCTTTGGAGATCTTAACGCAGCGCACAAAAACATACAAGCCAGGCTGCAGGCTGAGCTGTTTAAGGTAATCATGGAATCCGCTTGCCTTTCGCACAAGGACATTTACTAAAAATAGGACAACAAAACATTTTCATGTGCATATTATCTCTTTCTCTCCACAGCAAAAGGTCATGAGTTGTTTTCGAGCTTGGGAGGATTGGGCCATTTACCCACAGCCTTATCTAATCCACCTTCAGAATATCTTTCTCGGCTTTGCCAAAGCAGGGGAGGAGCTAGCAGAGATGGCAGAGGTTAGCTGAATTACACCCCTTATTACTGCCTGTTGGTGATGCCATTTCAACAATATAGGCTCCCCTTCTTGTTGAAAAGTAAATGAACCTCAACATAAATGCATTTCCATGTCTCTTCGTAGGAAGTATCCTGTGATATTGACGGTGCACCAATGGACAGCACACCTATAGATGGCATACCTTTGGACAGAGCTCCTGTGGATGACTTGGATGGCTGCCCTATGGGCTGGGACCCTCTGGATGGAGTCCCTGTTGATGACATAGACGGTATTCCCTTAGGGGTCACCACTGATGACATTGATGGGATGCCTTGTGAGTCCACAGCATATTAATAGTGTTCTTTTTTTAAACCAAAAAAGTCAATAATCCACCCAGCTCATACATCAAAACACTGACGTCCTGAGTAACGAGTGCGCATCTCGATCTCAGCAGGAACAGATTTGTGCTGTATTTCTCAGTCATTAAAGAGCAAACTCACTGTTATCACGATCTAACTGGAAGCCTTTCAAGGATGACCTGTCCCCGTCCTAACCTTGTGGCTGTTTTATCTCCCCAGTGGATGAAGGCAGTGTTCCTGTCTCAAGTGTGCCTTTATCTAAGTGGGAGAAGACTACTGATACTGGGGTGTTTTCTCAAGGTAAGACTTGTCAGGATGTTACTGTATCATCAATCTGCCCAGATCATCGTGCTTATTGTTCTCTTATCTCTCATAGCAAAGACTGAATCTAAGTGGGACACTGTGGTGGAGCGAGACAGCGGCGATGAAGCAAACGTGAGGTAAGGCCCGAGTGTCTCGCCTCCTGTGTACATTTATTTAAAAAAAAGAAAGACTGCAGTCAAATGGATCTAATGCCTGTCAACAGTGGCAACTCGCAAGACGAAGACTCGGAGAGTGACAGCAGTGCCGATTCCTCCAGTCTATCGAACTATGACAGTGCAGTTTTTCAAAGCTCGCTCAGAAGTTTTCAGATGTCTGAGAGCAAAAGGAAAAGGCTGAGAGAGCTAGAGGCAAGTGAAAAGTTGTTCAAAAGCATCTTTGTATGAGTCAGATTTGCTGAAAACTGTGTACCTTTAGTTCTTATTTAAAAAAAAAAAAAAAAAACTTCAGGCAGGCATAAACTGTTTTAGTCCATACCTGATGCCTGTGAGTACCACCATCAGGCATGTTGGACAATAAGTCAGATTATAGTTGGTAAATGTTCAGAACTGATTTGCTTTCTCACTATAACACAGGTAAAGGTTATGAAGATCCAAGATGAGCTGGAGTCTGGCAAAAGGCCGAGGAAGTCTGGAATGAGCTTACAGCAACAAGTGGAGCACTACAGAAACAAACTGCTACAAAAGGTGGGTTGATGAGCCACTTGAATTAGTATAGCTTTAAAATTACATTGCACTGTGTTTTACCTGTGGAGGAATAAAAGGTGCTCAGATTTTCTCCCCAAAAGAGCCCCACTTTAAGCAAAATACAAGTCACTCATGTATAATAGAAGCACATCCTCTAATAATGAACAGTGTAGTGGGAAAAAAAGAAACAAAATTAGTTCAAATTGGTCAGTACAGTTAAAATAATGATTTAGTGGCAGAGTTGTAAATGTTTGTCAATCTTGCACCATCTACTGGTAAGGAACTGTAGCTGCAGTTTATTTTAACCTAGGTGCTGTTGGTTCTTGTTTGTGCACAATTTGCTTTGTGTGGCACGGTTCATATTCACTACTAGAAATGTTGCTCTGTTGGGTATGTTATGTGTGGAGATCTCAAGAGGGGGAAAAAAAACTAGCAGAATTTGCTGGACTTGTGTTCTAATGTAGCAGCTTAATTGCGTTTAAATAATTCTGCATTTTATTGCTTTTGCCCATGGACCAAAAAAGATGACAAAAAGAGGTTTTTAAAAAATTACTTGTTATAGAACCTCCTAGAAAGAAACTCCCATTAAACCTGACTGAGCTGATTAGGGAATTACATCTTTAGATAACTACAAATTAACAGGGATGTTTTTACTCTGTCCTGTAGGAGTTTGAAAAAGATGAAGAGAAGAATGAGAGATCAACATCAAAATCCAAAGAAAAGTCCAAGGACGACAGGAGGAGCAAAGAAAGGAGCAGAAAAAATGACGATGGGGATAGAAGACGTAGTAATGACCCTGGACACCAGGCCCGAAAATCAAGGAGCATCTCTCCTTTAAAGTAAGTCAACTGTGATGCTTTTGCAGTAGCATCCATCCTGAGTGTTATCTTTAAAGTCAGTATTTTATCTTCTGTTTTGTTCAGGTCTCCCAAACGGTCCAAACGTTCCCGATCACCATCTCCGGACCACAAGGCAGGCAAATCCAGGTCACGGTCACCCCGTGGCTCACACAAGAAAGCAAAGAAGAGCAAACATTGACTCAGCTCTGCAGTGCGTGCTCGTGTCCACAAAGTAACACAGTGCACTTCTGCAGCGCTCTTTCAAACAGACCAACACGTCTGCTCTGTCATAACTAAAACACTCCATGCAAGATTCAGTACACTTTTATATGATGAAGAATGAACACTGTAATTATATTTATTTTTGTTTTAATGTTTGGTTTAAAACAAACAAAAGTCGCTGTAAAGTTCGGACACTAAATAAATCACCTTTGGTGATGGAAGCGTGTGTGTAAGATGATTCGTGAGAAAAAGCATCAAAATGTTAAGTTAATGACTTGTCGACAAGCACTCTTTTAGTTTGTGTGGATTTTTATTGAGGAAAGTAATAGAGCATTTGTTTACAAAAGCATTAAGTATGCAATGTTACACAGTAAATTTACACAACTGTTTTATAGAATGAAATGTGCTTTCATTGAACAAAGAAATGTATCAAAAGTATTTGACCCAATACTGGTTCTGAAACACAGATTTAAGATGCCCAGCCCCGATCATTAGTAGCCACACATCTCCTGCACTGAAAATTTTGTTATCTGCTGAAATGTCTGATAAAGTGAGAGGAAAGCTTTAGAAGTGTAATTTAGAAAGCAATCTAGACTCTGTAGGCACGAATATTTTGTAAATGACATTACAGTCCATCTTTAGACACCTTGAGACAAATGCGTCTTAACACAAGACATGAAAATCTGCCCAACATCAGTGCCTTGCTTCTCTAAATTTCTTCTGAAATGTGGTAGCCAAAGAAAGCATAAGGTGCCCCATACTGTTACAGGTAGTCTTCTAGCTATATTCAGCCCTGACCATACAGCCTGAAATGTACACGTGCGTATCTGAACAGATTTAGTTTCTGTTCACGCTTGACATGTCCAGATCTTTCGTTCAGACCAAACTGTTCACAGTTGTCTGGTATCAAAGATTTAAAAACAAAAAGTGGTAAGGAACCTCACTTTGTCCATTTACAGTTTATTTATTCCACCTATTCCCTTTTATTTTAGGGTCCCTGTTTACCAAAAACCGCTACTACAGACAACTTTGTCTCAGTACCATTAGGTACTTAGTGACCTTACAAGGCTCTGAGACAAGCTGTCCTCAACCTTTAGGACTGATCACTGATAGATGGGCCTGAACCTGAAGAGCCAAGAGCCTCTAAAATGCTCAGTATTTTTTTACATTGATAAAAACCTTGATGGCTCCAGTGAAGTCAGCGGAGAGAAGAACTTCTGTGTGATCTGTCTTTAATGCTCCTGCAAAGAGAGAAAATGGCATTGCAAGTTTACGACACTGAACTGTGATGTTTTAAGAAATCTTGAGTCCTATGCAAATTAAAGGGGGCATACCTGAGGGTATCGTTTCAGAGTCTGTGGAGTCCAGGCTCTTACACTCTGCTTCTGGCTTCTCTGCACCACTCTCCTGTGGGACAATAAGGCCTGGGTGGGGTGCGAAAATGGCTGACGTAACCACAGCGTTGTGTGCTGAAAGAGAAAAACTCTTTAGTGGCGGCCCAATGGCTGCTTACATTAAACGGTGTTTGCCACTTAGCATAAACACAGTTACCTTTAATCCCTTCCCAGAAGTCATTGCGGTCCCGCCGTACAGATGTGAATTTACTCAAGTCATGGTAAGTGCTCCAGATGTATATGTACTTGTCCTCTGAGCCGCTTACAATGAAGGAGTAGTCGTGACTACAGAAAAAAGGCCAAACAGGTTTACTGCAACATACTGTGTCAATACAACAACAACAACAACAACAACAACAGAAAGAGCTTTTGTCCATGCTTAAGGTTAGAAACTGACAAAAAACAAAAACTAGAAGCAATGTACACCCTTACCTGAAGCTGGCCTTAATCTGGCTGCTACTGTTGACATAACCCTTGTACTTCATTGATAGAGACAAGTCCCTCAGGTCATAAAGGCGAATGCGGGAATCATTTGATGTCACCAAAATCTATGGGCAAAGGGTACAGTTCAACATTTGGCATTTCACAAGTCTTACAGACACGATTGTTACACTGACGACTAGGGCTGCAGCTGTCGATTATTTTAGTAATCAAGTATTCCATCGATTAGTTCAATGAACCAGCGCCTATCAGCATTCTGAAGTTTGCCCTGGACTTCGACTCAAAATTTTGTGCTGTTAAAAACAAGACTTTAATTATTAACATCTACACCATCATAATGTTAACAGCAATTCAGCAAAACCCAACAGCTCCAGGTCAGTCCCTCAAAGTTTTACTGACCAATATCTTTAAATATTAAGATAATATTTTATTTCTCTTTATATATATTTTTTTATTCTCTTTAAATCTGAAAAATTAAGCTATGAAAGCCTTGAAATAAAGATGGTCTAGTAAACCGCAGTTTACCAAGCCCTATTGACAACCCACCGCAGACGTATTTGTAGTGATGGCCAGCTGTTTACCTTATTTTCTCCAGGCAGAGGTTCAATGCCAGTGATCTTGCGTCCCACTTTGTTCCTTCCTCTGGTGGACCGCACATGAATTTGCGTGTGGTATTTCAGACGCTAAAAACAAGGTGCAAACAGAAAAATGCATTTGCTTCATATTTGAATGGATGTGTTCATGAAAAAAAGTACTATAAAGAAATAATTAAACCATGTATTGGCTGGATGAAGCAATGTATGTGTGTATACCTCTGTGTCATAGAAGATACATCGACCATCATAGGTGCCAATCACTGCATATTTCCCATTTTGGCAGAAGTTGGCAGCGGTGATAAGCCGGGTTTGGCCATCCACCTCATTCCACAAAGCCACCTTCTTATCTGGAATGTTCCAGAGCCGTAGTTTTCCATCTAGGGAGCCGCTTAAAAAGTACCTGTCATCCTGGGTAACAAGGAAAAGAAAGAAGGAAAAAAAAAGTACTATGAATGGAGTCTGTGAGACAAAATAATAGATGTATGATTTGCGCTGAGAGCAGTAATGCAAGGTGACTTAACGTACCCTGGGATGGAAAGCAATGGCTGTGACAAAATCAATGTGCTGAAAGCAGCAGAGACACTCTCGCCTGGATATGTGCCATAACCTGACTGTTTTATCCATGGAAGAGGAGAGCAGGAAAAAGTTCTAGACAAAAAATTTTTTGGAAAAGATGAGACAAGAGAGAAGAAAATGTGTGGGGGTAGAAAAACTTAACAAGGTGCTTTAATCACCTTTGACCAGGATAAGTCCAACAGATCAGCCGTGTGACCCTTGTACTTGCAGAAAGGGACTTGACGGAAAGGGGCATTTCTATCTTCCGTGTCTGGGTCCTCTGGAATACAACTCGCCTACAATAAAAATGTCACTTAGGTACACATCTGGAACAAAAATGGCTTAAAAATGTCTGATTTTTGTGTTAGTGTCATCACTCACCCCAGTCTCAGTGTCAGATTTAGAAGAACATAAACTTTCCTGAGAAGGAGAAGGTGACACTCGACCTGGAGAAGAAAAAACAAAGGAAGGTTTCTCTAACAAGAACTTGAACATCTTCTGGAAAAGTCTTGAGTCTTAATTTCTTTATATTTGGCTAGGAAAATGTTAAATAGGTGTAACAAACGATTTACTAAAGCATGTGTAAACATACATCAGATGCAGTATATAGGGCAAAAACAGAGTTGGCAGCTTGAGAAGCTTTCTGCTCATTTCTTTAAGTAGTCTTCAGGAATGGTTCTGCAGGCCTCTTGAAGGACATTCAAAGCTGACTGATAGTGTTTCACTCCGTTCTTCTATCCAGGTATGCTTTGTTACACTGACTGCCACATGTTCAGAAATATATGTCAAAATCTGATTTTTCTGTCTTCACTTTTGATCTCCAGTAGCACTGGCCGCATCCTCGTTGTGCAACCCCTTTCCTGATCCCTTCCATATATACACTGACAACTTAAACCAGAAATGCCAAATTTGGATCCATCACTCCATGAGACCTGCTGTCACTGATTTTCAGCCCAGTTTCTGTGTAACTTGGCTTACCTCAGGCTTTTCTCCCTATTCTCCTTCCTTTAGAATGGCTTCTTGACAGCCAACCTTTCATTGAGACCATTTCTGATGAGGCTTCAGTGATCAGGTGATGGACCAGCACAAGGTCCTGCATCTTTCAGGTCCTTTGCTTGACCTTTTCCTATTTCTTACTGGGGATTTATGCTTCAGTGGGAAATCTATGCCATAGCTACATTGTAACCACAAACCCCTCTGAAAGCCTAAGGTGTAACCTGACGTGCACCTCCCTAGAAATGTAGCTACATATCAGGGAAACACAGTCTGTTTAGAGTCCCTGTATGCATTTCCAGCTACCTTTTTGCCAGGGCTTTTGAATTTATCACTGAGAGAATACCCATCATCATGTCAGTATAATAAAAAAAATAATCATAGCATCAATATAATAAACACTCACAAATGTCAGCAGATTCCTGGAGGGAGATTGCTGAAACTATTGGTTCCATACTATAAATTTAAAAACGTTTCTTTGCTATCCATCCATCCATTCGCTTCCGCTTATCCTTTTCAGGGTCGCTGGAGCCTATCCCAGCTGTCATAGGGCGAGAGGCGGGGTACACCCTGGACAGGTCGCCAGTCTGTCGCAGGGCTAACACACAGGGACAGACAACCATTTGCGCTCACATTCACAC